ACTACTAAAATTAATGGTAGTGGAAAATAATTAAAGATATTTTTTTTTTGATCGGATTGGCTTGGATTTATTTAAATGTAACGTAATTGTTGGTCAATGAATATAATTTTAGATCTAGTATTTTTTCCTTCCCCTTTTTTGAGAGCGGTTGTTCTTGAAATCAAGAGTAAAGTGCTCTCAAACCAAGAACACCTTTTTCCGATTTTAGTAAAACCGTTCTTGGCTCACTAAAGCACGGAAATACTGAAATCAAAAACGTTGAGAACGGTTTTTTTTCCCTGTGTAGGATCGAGCTCCTCTGGAGGCTCTTTTTTGCAGCGTGTGTGGCGTGTTTGTTTTTCTCCGTGTTGCCCTGCCGGCCTGTCGTCTTTTCTCCTCCCATTCCCTATTTCCTTGTTATCCCCGTGTTCTCTGCGTATTTGCCATGTTGTGTCTCGACTGTATAAAAAAGTAAGCAAAACAAAACTGCCATCCAGAGGTCCAGGTCCTGTTTTTGAGGTCGTCCTGTCTGTGGGCTCCTAACGATTTGGCTGATCGTTTTCCCGGTCGCCTTTCAATTGACCGTTGCAAATCGCAACAAAGATCAGCCGGGATAAGCCCCGTTGTATGGCAAACAGAGAAAGAGAGAGAGGAGTTTTCCCCACTCCATTTTCCATTTTCCTGCTCATTATACCCGTTACTCGTAGAGTAAAAGGGTATATTAGATTCGTGCAAAAGTATGTAACAGGTAGAAGGAAGCGTTTCCGACCCTATAAATATTCTAATATTCTTGATCGGGATCACTAGCCGAGTCGATCTAGCCATGTCCGTCTGTCCGTCTGTCTGTCCGTCTGTCTGTCTGTCTGTCTGTCTGTCTGTCTGTCTGTCTGTATGAACGCTGAGATCTCGGAAACTATAAAAGCTAGAAGATTGACATTTTGCATGCAGATTCTAGGAGTTCCTACGCAGCGCAAGTTTGTTTCAAAAGGGTGCCACGCCCCCTCTAACGCCCACAATCGCTTATATACGATTTTAAAAATTTCAATATTTTGGAAAAGTAAAAATGCAGTTTTATTGTGTTTATCAATACCTATCGAAATGTAGAAGAAATTTTTTAAATCGGACCATTCGTTAAAAAGTTACGGCGGATCAAAGTTTTTCTCCATCTCTTTCGCACTCCCTTTAGCTGAGTAACGGGTATCTGATAGTCGGGGCACCCGACTATAGCGTTCTCTCTTGTTTTTTGTTTCGCTTTTTCATTACACGCCCCGCAGAAGAAAGAAAGAAATGCTTTCTCCGCCATACTGTTCTCATTTCTTTTTTGTTGGCCCTTTGTTTTTGCGGCGATTGCTGATGCGCATTTGATTGCTACGATCCTGGGACTTAGAAATATATCCCTCGATTTCCCCCGAACCTGTATTATCCCTCTGTTCGTGCTTAAGTCCTTGGAAAATCGTTTTTTGCGCCTTTTCCCATTTCCTGGTCGACTAATTGCGAGAGAAATCTGCTAAGACCTCCGCACCAGGACTAGATTGAGATGGAGATTCAGATTGAGATTTAGATTGATTTCAGCAGCAGTGGCAGCCGGAATGCTGCTGCATCTGAATAAAAAGGGTGTGAAGTGGAGGACCACTTGAAAAATCTCGTTATCCTGTCAGCAGCAGGACTCCTTTGCCCCCTTGGCTGGGAAAAGTGCCAGTCATTTATGAGTTCCGCGTGGGTTTCGGGTTTGAGTTTGGGAAATGTGGGGGAGTAGCGATGGGTGCCAAGTGCTTCGGCAGCTGTCCTTTTGCCAGCAGCTCTCGCATATCGCTTACAGTCCCAAAGCAGATGAATGAAAGCAACCAAACGATTTCGATTCCGATGCTGATTCTGTCACCCTCTTACACTTGGAAAAAATGTCTCATATAACATTTAACTTTATTTAATTACTTTAATTCAACTACCAAAAAAAGTTTTAAAATTCAAATTCACTTAAATTTGTTAAAGATACCTTAAAAGTAAGGCTCCTAAAATATAACCCAAAAAATATTCAAAAGTTAACTCAAACTTTAAAACAAAAGTTGGATTAGGTAATAATAAAATATGTGATAAAACTAACCAATAAATCTGATTTTAATTGATGAAATTATAATAAAAGTACCTACACTCAACCTACATTATTGTCTATTATTAATTTGCACAAAGAAGAAAATATCATTCAATTTTAGAAAGCGGAAAAATACAAATTTTTTTTTTTTAAATTTATTTTTATTATTTTTTTATTTATTATACATGTTTTAAAATACATTTTTTATACATTATAAATATTTTTATAAAAAAATCCTCTTTTCCCTTTACTGGCGTGTTTTTTCCTCGAGTGCAAATGAATGAAAAGAGCAGCGGTTCGTTCCTCTGTCCTTTTCCTTTATTTTCCGCCTACGACAACACCAGCGAAGGGAAAAAGGAGCAAACGGGCAGGATCAGGAGCAGGCAGCTCCTTTGTTGGGCTTAGCACTAGTCCCGGCAGCCTTTTCAATTCCATCCTGCGAGAAAGCACAAAGCCCGAACCACTCAAAACGCCTCGGCGGGACTCAATTGTTTTCGTGATCAATTTGCAACTTAATTGAAATCCATTTAAAGTAATGAGAGTTACTAACTTGTCCTGCCCCGACCCGAAATCCTTTCGCTACCCTTCGCATTTCATTGTTTTCGCTACCCTTTTCGCTGGCCGCAGGCTTTATTTTGATCCCGTGCTCAAGAATTATAATCCCACGCAGCCGAGATACTGGATATTCATACCTGTAAGGACATCCTCATCTTCCCAGCTTCCGATTGTTCCGATGCTACTGATTGTCCTGTTTGTCCGCTTGTCCTGCGGCCACAGGATCTATTTGCGAGCCGTGCAAATGCAAATTGTCCTTAATGTAGTCCAAGTAAGTAGCAATCGCCCAGCTCCCCGCGGCGAGGATTCTCGTTGAGATTTTCGAGTGGCCAAATGGAAACTGGTTCCAAAATGGGATAATTATAAAGGAAATATGTATTAAAAAAAAAAAAAATTTATAAAAACATTTTATAGGTAAGAATCAATTAAAATTTTTTGTTTTAATATTTCTTTGGAATTGCATTTGAAAAATATTAAATATTATTTCGAAAGCGTCTTACAATCTTAAATGTGTTGGTTTTAATAAACATTTTATGAGGATCTTTTAATAAAATAAATCTACTAAAATATTATTTCGGTTCTTAAGTTTTCAGTTATCTATTAAAACAATACATTGTTTTTATGTTCTTTAAAAACATAAAAAAAAGCACTAAATCTATATAAAAAAATCTATTCATTTTTAAAACATATTTTCTGTATATTTTAGAGGAAAACTGCCTAAATTCTATTTTTACGAACTAGTTCTCAAGTTCCTTACTTACACACACTCACATAAAAACCACTCGAATTAAAATCCGTCTTTTTTTTTGGAAGCGATGCGCGCGCAAAAATATTATGCAAAATAAATGCGGGCGAAAAAAGTCGCTGGCCAAGTCCATTAAAAGGGAATAAGTGCGTGCAAATCCTGGCCGCAGGATGTTTTTCATATTATCAGAACGCATATTACTTCATCGGAAATGAAGAGCTTTCGTTGCCCTCGTCCCCCCGCAAAATGCCAAAGTAAACACATGTGTGAAGTGCTTTGGCAAAAAAAAAAGGGAGGGATGATGGGCGGGATGATGATGGCCAGGATATCCATATCTCTATAGCCCATATCCATATCCATAACCATAACCACGCGCCTTCCTTTTTTTCGATACACTAAAACCGCAATACAAACACACCCACTTGGAGAGAGGTACAGGATATGCAGAATGGGATATGGATATACTACTGTGCACCACATTCCAGTTGATCCCCTTGTAAATCTCTAAATTGTTTTATGAACATATTGGCCGGGAAGGTGTAAACCTAATTTTCCTTTATGAGAACCCACGGGGCAGGTAAAGTGGAAGTGCATCCGAGCCCGATCTTTTTGTTCCGGCGGCTCAGCAGGATGCACACTCTATATCGGTCATATCAACGTGGCCTTTGTTTGGCCGCCTCATTTAAATCGTACCGCTGGCCAATTTGCATTCGCACTACAGCCAAATTGATCCGCCCTAATCCCAGAGTTTCGGTCTCAGTTCTTCAGTTCTTCAGGGCCCGAACTCCTTCGGCCGAGTTCTCTAAGCGCGGGATTTGAATTTGCAAGAATAACAAAACTCCTCTGCCTTTTCCTCTGGCTTTAGGCATCAGTCTTACCCTTGGATTGGCTCTACTTCTGGCTGGGATTGGCTTGGATCTGGATTTCGACCCGATCCGGCTTGGCTTTTCTGCCTCTGCTCCGGCTTTAACTTTGCGCTTGCCCTTTGCCGGAAAGGTTTGAGCCTGAATTTGGAAGTCAGTCGGTTGGTCGGCCGAAAAAGGACGTCGGCTGCTTTCAGAGCGGAAAAATATAGAAGATTTAGTTATTACAATTTATTCCATGCTGCTTAAAAAAATTAGGGATCCTTTTTTATAAAAGCATTTATTTAAAATATTAAAAAAAAACATTTTTTAGAGTAAAAAACAAATTGTTAAAATTTAAAATAAAAATAACTTAAACAAATTTTAATGTTACCAATATTTATAAAAATTAAATAGGTTTTATTTGATTTAAGAAATTCTTATCAATTTTTAAGGGTTCCAAAACGACTATAGTGCCGCCATCTGTGGTTCATAGTTAGCCTCTGTAGTTCGTTTTTGGCAACATTTATGAAAAGGCGCCATCTGTAGCTCGCATTTGTCGACACCTTTATGGCAACTCCACTTCTAACAGCTGTTTTAAACCGATAGTCGATATTTAAATTCGTGAAAATATAATGCAATTTGTTAGTAATATTTACCAAAAAGGAAAATAAATAATAATAAATAATGAAGTGAATAAAGGTAATTTTTGCACCTCCTAAACTGTTAAATGGTCACTCGATTTTTATTACTGGCAACACTTTGCAAAAGTTGGCAACACTCGATTGTTATTGTTGTTTTTGCTCCGAAGTAAACAAAAGTTGGACGAATGTTTGGATCATATTATTAAAAAAGCTAATGCAGGATAGGAAATCAGAAGACATGGCCAGGAAAAGGACCAGAAAAAGGAGCAAGCAGCGCAGTAGAAGACGGAGAAGTGAGGGAAAGCCAAGACCACAAACAACTAGAGATCGGGATCAGTGGACCAATGTTGCTCAAAGTATTAACAATAATAACCTGCCCAAATTATGTTTTCTTGATACTATATGATCTTATCACCCCCGCTTTAGTATACCAAAGTCTATTCGAATGGCACCACAATCATGTGATGAGCCTCTGCTCTCCGACAGATCAGAACCAGGATCAGGATAATGAGGATACTACTGAGGAAGCTGGATCATCGCAATGCCTTGACTATGTCTATGAAAGCTCCTCGGAGGAGGAGGAAAACGAACCCATTGACGAGGAGTATCTGAAGTTCCTGGAGGTGACCATCAAGCATCAGCAGGAACTGAAAGATCGAAGAGCTGCCCAAACCACCGACTCCGTAGATTAGGATTAAGATAACCTTCTTGTTCAGGTGATTCTTAATATGGAAAACCTATGATAACCATCAGTGGAACTTCTATCTGCCTCAAAGATATACAATTGTATAAAACTATTTCGATTTTTAAAGACTTTGAGTTAAGGAAGTTAGAAAAAGAGATGTTTAATTGTAAGAAAAAGTGTACACTTAAAATTTTTCTAAATGTTTAATGGTATAAGAGTAATTTAAGAATTCTATAGCCCCATAAGTGCAATGTTATAATAAGTATTTGATTTTTTTATATTTTTGAACAATTTTATTTTTATTTTTCATAATATGATACACAATAAATTGACTTTTCCATATATTTTGTGATCTAGTTCTTTTTAAATTTTTAAAATGAAAACAACTGTTTCCTAACTTAGGAGTGCATTAGAGTAAAGGTTTCTCATGATTCTCCCAAGAAAAAGCCTGAAGGCGAGAACCAAAATTTGCGTAGGACGAGAAAGCAACTGTACTTTAATTCCCGGAACTGCAGCTTGTCTCCGATATTCTGTTATTCTCACATGATTCTCCACTAATGAAGTTGTGCGAAGACGGCATTTTTTTTCGGCCAAGGGAGACGCACATTAACCCGACCAAGACTAATGCGATGTCATTTATAATCGCGCAGGGAGAACCAGAAGAAAGCTTCAAATTGGGGCATGACTTAAAGGGGGAAAAAGGGGAGGAGAGGCCTTTGGGAGGACGGAGGACCACTTTGTGGGTCAGAGACAATGTCTGCCGTTCGTGTGGGCGTGGCAAGTCGGGCATTAGCCAACATTTTTCGGCACTTTTCAGCAGAAAACCTAATTAAGACGTCCGACTCGGAGTGGCAATGGATTCCGTTGGCTTACTATCTTCGTCTCCCCCTCTCCAGTCCAAACTCCTCCTCCTCGGAGCTCTTTTCCCACCTCCTCCTCCTGCTGATCCTCCGCTGAAATCACGACTGGCGACGACAACTGCGAACGACCTTTCTAATGCCCGGCCACTGCATAAATCATGGCCCAAATGGCGGCCACCTGCAACCGGCAGCAATAGCAGTAAGCCAACTGCAATTGCCAGTGCACTGGAAAAAATTTTATATTATAGGGGGAAAATAAATAAGTTGTCAGTTTAACTTATTGGTTTATTTACTAAACTCTCAAAAATACTTGATTTAAAATAATACCTATTGCTATATTCAAAAGTTCTCATTTGATTTTCTCATTGATAAGTTGTAAAAGAAACCATTTTCCGACTTTTTTTTTTAATTTTTTGGGGTTTTTCTTTTTTTTTTTTTTGTAATATAAAAGGTTTTTTATAAAACTTGTTTCCTGAACATATGTATATTTCAATCTCAGTTTAACTGTTTAACTATTTTTAGAGTCTGTATTATTTAAAAAAAAATTGGTATTTTCTTTTTAGTTTTTTAATAAACTTTGTTTCCAGTGCAGCTAATAAGGCTGTGCCTGCAACGGGAACGGAAACTGCAACTAAAACTTAAGCTAAAACTAAAAACTGGGATGGGAACTGGGGAATCACAGTTGGACATTCACCAAACGGGAGCGATAAAAGTTTAGTCAAATCGAAATTGAGATTTCAATAGAAAGTTTGGCTCCACCCACCGTGGAGACGAGCGCAAGAAGACAATAATAAAACCGAACAGGACAATAAAATCGGTTCTCTATCAAATTTGGATGGCTGCCTAACTAGAATTTAAGGAGATTACCTTTTTGAATTAGGTTGTATTGTATACAAAATATTAGGGTTTAAAAATTATCGTTATTTTCAATATTTTGACAGTAATGGTTTGGTAATATAGATGTTTTGAAGGGAAAACTAAAAAAAACTCAATATTTATTCATATAATGATTTAATTTCTGTTTTATTGTGTTATTAAGTCTGAATAAAAACGAGAAGTTTAAAAGGGAGTTTTATATAGTTTTCTGTGTTTTGGCCTAGGTTATTTTGTATATACTTTAAAATTCTTCCATTAAATTCATATGCCTTTGACTATCAAAACATTATAATTTTTATTATTATTTTTAATAAAATAAAACAATAAAAATTCTAACTAAGAAGACATAGGACTACAGGCATAGGAGCAACCACAGAAGCCACAGAAGTCGCACTCCAAAATGGCTGCCTCGAGGGCCAGGCCCAGAGAAAAAAAGCGAGAGAGTGTGAAGGAGAAGCCTCTAATTAAATGGGTGTAGCTGCTGAATATGGCTAATAACCAGCAGAAGGAGGAGGAGGAGAAACGACAGCAGCAACATGGGGATCTCAGGCGAAAACAAACTGGCCAAAAGGGCTGCGGCCACCTGTTGCTGTTTTGTTGGCCTCTCTGTCTGGTTTTTTCTCCCTCTCTTTTTTCTTTATATTATAAACGACGCCATGTTGCCTGTAGATTTGCATGATACTGCCATCGAACACCCCCAACTTTTCTCAGATACTCCGATATGGCAAGACATCGCGGCATATGAATATTTTATGAGCTGGCAACCGGCTGTTTTGGAGGCCAACCGGCGACAGTCGGGGAGCATTGAAGTGCCAGACAAATTGTTGCCTACAAATCAATTAAATTGCTAATCAACAGCGACAACAAACAAAACGGCAACGGCAGCAGCAGCAGCAACAACAGCAGCAGCAACTGTTGCAGCTACGGCAGCAACATATCGCGTATTAGGCTCACAATTTAATGGAGCCGCATTCCAAAGGCAAAGTCTAGAAGCCATTGTTGGTTCCCTATCGCCAAAGCGACCACAAGAAATGCATAAACCTATTGCAGATTGTTTTTTCCCTTTTTTTGTATTTTTTTCTTGTGTACTGGGGAGATAAATAAAGGGGCCAAACACAAAACAAAGCTGCCAGAGTCTTGGACACAAACAAGTGCGCTGCAATTGGGCAGTTAGGTGCGGGGGTTAGCGGGGGGTTAGCAGGGGTTAACCGGTGGTTAAATGGGAGGTTAATGGGGGAGAGTGGGGAAACAGCAGTCGGTCAGAAAAAGAATAAAACTAGCACGACCCGAAAAACCAAAGCAACAGCAAGAGAAACAGAAGCAACATGGAAACACCGCAGGCGGCATTTGACAAAAAGTCAACTAGCCACAAATATTGTGCATGGCTATGGGCTTGAATATATGGAAGGCACTGAAAAAGGTGGCTAAAATAAGCTAAGGATAAATTAGAAGGCAGAAAAAAACGGAGAAGAAATAGTGAATAGTCTTTAAACTTCTGATTAAATGAATTTATATGTTTTGGGTATCAATGTTTATTATTTGGATTTCTAGAAGTTAGGTAGTCTTAGTTACATTTAAACCCATTACCATTTTTTTTTTTTTACTGGATTATATGGCACCACCCACTGTTTAAGTTGTCATCACCTTTAACTAAAGCCAGCTATGAAGCATTTGAGAGTTAGCCGCTGTCGAAATTCATTCAATTCAATGGCTACAAACACCAGTCACACCGATTCCAAAACCGATTTAGATTCAGATTCAGGCACTGGCACTGGATTCAGATTCAGATTTTAGACTCTCGGCTCTTGGAGACTCGCTTCCAGTTTCAGGTTACCACGCATGAGGCTTTTTTATGTCGTTCTCCATTTGTCGCCTGGCACTTTTCTAACTTGCTGTGGGAAAAGGAGTGGCGCTGGAGGATGGCGAATTGGAGGCTAGAGGGGATTGGGACTCGGATTCGGATTCGGACTACCCGAGAAGAGGGTTGAGAAGCGTGAGAGTCGACAACAAACTGCGCCTGCGCACGCGTTCAATTAGCTGCAAATTGCAAATCGTGCGGCGCATGCGCAACGTCCCGATGCGATGTCGCCACAAACGGCGGCAACATGTTGCCACTGCTGCAACATCACACAGAAAGAAAAAAGAAATATGTCAAGTATGTTTATATCATTATAATTTATAACTTAATCTCTGTATATAAAACTATTCTTAAAATTGTAAAAAATTAACAAGTATGCTCCACTTTCGTTTCAAAACTTGCTATAAAATCCTGAAAATATTTTTTTAGCCCAACTTTTGTTTTCCGTGCACGACAACCGCAACAGCAAGAGCAATACCAATGGCAACAGTTGCTAATGTGTTGTCAACAAAACTCATGTTGACAGCAGAATCGAAAATATTTCATTTCAAATTTGTGCTGCTGCAGGTTGTGCAGGTGTGGGAAAGAGAAAGGCTCCGAGGAGGTGTCGATGTCCACTGTTAATTGGGTGGATTTGGATTGCCATGGGTTGGATTCGGAGAGGGGGCGGTGGTGGTTCGCTGGTTACCTTGAAAAAGACACATCCTGTCGCCGGTTGCAAGTTGCAACCATAACTCAGCTGCAGCCACTGCGGCAGAATTTGCATGGAGGGAATCGAATTTCTTGCGGATAGATTCGAATGTTGCTGCTGAGTGAATGATAACTGACAGTTGAAACAGCCAGCAGCAGCAACAGCAGCAACAATGCAAACATTGCAGTCACAGCGACAACATGTTGCTGCTGCCGCATCCTGAGGGAAGTCGCCTGCTTTTTGCTCCACGGCCTTCTCCCTGCCCCTCGCTTAAATGTCAATAAATATTGGCAATGCTCTCGTCCCAGACGCTGTCATTGTCATGGTTCCTGCGGTCGCCCAGCAGCAGCAACAAGGCACTGGTAAAAATAAGTAAATAAGATAAGCTAATTATTAAAATTAAGAATAATAAAAAGAAAAAAAAACATAGCAAAATTTATCACATTAAAAAATTGAATGTTGTAGCTTTAGTGGTTTTGGTTGTAATTTGATTTTTAATTCATGGGCGAGACCTTTATAAGTAGAGATAATTATGTTGTGAAATAGTATAACATTATTTAGATTTTAATGAGGCAAGAAAAAAAAGGAACTTTTCTAAAAAGATTTAAAAACCAAAGAAAATTTTCAGGATCATTAAGGGATTCTGCTTATCTCTTGTCTAAAATGCGAGTTCAAGATCCTAAAATTTTTGAAAAACAGTTTTTAGTTTTTGGTTTAAGGATAAATATCAATTTTTAACATGATTTTTTTTTGTTTATTTTTAATAAATTCCCAAAAATAATATTTTTGTTTCTTGACATATACCTATTCTTACGATATAGTTTAAAGAACTATTTACGCAT